TGGTGTCTTTGGCCTTTTCTCTAATCAAGAGAAGGGTTCTCCAGTTGGTATTAACTAAGATTAACCAGCATATACAAGTATTGTTAAAACCAGCACCTGACTCTGTAATTTTCACATTTTAATGAAGTGCTTTAATTCAAAACAGCAAGGATGTTAAAACTAGATCTTAGTTATTGTAAGAACTTTAATATATATAAAGCACCTTTTTTTCCCTCTTCATTGATAATCTAATTAAAAGAAATCCCTCAATGCTTGACATGGTGGACTTACCTTTTGGTGGTAATTTCACAAGATTGCCGAACATAAAAAAGACTTTCTCCCTTCTGAAAATCCTGTATAATGATTATCACTTTCAAAAGACTCAGCAAAAGGAATGAAGATAAACTCATGTTTCTTTCGAGATAAAACAAAAACTGTAACAAATGTTTTGGGTCTTGACTCCTTAGTTTTATGATACTAAATAAAATATACTTTTATTTTCCATGTTACTTCTAAGTAATATATGTACCAATAGTAGGAGGCAAGAACACAACAATCAGGAAAAATACCATACCTGTACTCTGTCAACATGAACTTTTACTCCTCCAACAATTCCTTTCCGAAAGGCTGCCAACATATCTAATATTGGATTGAATCTGCTCCCTCTGAAATTTGAAACAGAACTCCATTAATCTTGCAATCAGGTAAGTGTCACCCTGCAAATGGTGCACATCTTGCTCTTGCTCTCTACCTTATATTGTCTTCACGGATAAGCACAACAAACAGTGGACGACCATGCATTTTCCAATACTGCTTAATGAACTGCAGTGCATTCTAGGTAAGAAATAATACAATAGTTACCAAAAAAACCCTGAAACAAAGCAACCCCCAAGCATAACATACCAGAATACACAGTGCAAGACACTAAAAGAGCTATCTTAAAGTAACAACACTGAAAAACCGAACAGATTAAAAAAAGCTAGTAAGCTACTAAGAGACTTCTTCAAAAAGTAGAAGCTGGTTTCAAGCACTGGTATTTCACCAGTTTTCTGAAAATACTCCTAGTGCAGACTATAGTACTAGACAGAATGTGGTGTATTGTACTACATGCAATGACCTAGTAAGTGCGCATGGGAATGCAGGGCTTGAATCCTGGCCACTAACATGGACTAACCAATGCCACCTCCTAGCACTGGAAGTATCTGCTCCAGCACAGGGGACATGGTAGGTCAACTTTGCTCTGCTGCCTGCCTTGAAATCAGGGAAGGGACAAGATTTGTAACATTTGTGTAAAGTTAAGCGATGCTTCCTCCAGGTAAGGCTTCGGTATTTCCCTTAAACAGACCAGTCTCATTCCTTTTTCACGCAAGAGCATTTGTTTTCCCAAAGCAACAAATGATAATTTGCTTGCTGCATTACAGCATTCCCAGTCACTTCTGGGTGAGTTTTTGTGTCAGACAGAAATACTTGTGAGAACTCCTACTAGGCTGACAGGATATTCACCTTCACAGATTTTCCAGCATAAGCTGCAAGTTTATTTCTGTACTGGAAGCATACACACTATACAGTGTTCCCCTTTCAGTCTTCTATTTTATCAAACTTCACATTTTAGTCTTCTACAGACTCTATTTTCATCAGTTTCTCAAAGAAAAAGTTATAGATAAATACCTTAATGTCATCAATCAGCATCATAACATCCTGAGACATGTAGAAATCACTTAGATCAAAAATGATCGAGTAGCAAACTACAGTCTTTCCTAATATCCGATATATCTGTGGAGAGAAAAAGCTTCAATTAATATTTTCTTTAAAATATTTAAAGCAATGAGTTAGCTGAAAAGGAAAAAACATATTTGGAAACTATGAAAACAATACTCAACGTAGAGCAGTTGGCTTAAAAAACCCCAAAATATTTAAGATAAAACCTACACATCTAATTTTAGGTACTCTGGTTTTTATTAGGCATGCAGGTCTACATTCTCCTTCAGTCAAAGCAGTTCAGTTCTCCACCATCCAACCTGCTTTGGCCCAGTATTGCTGGAATTGGATGTCTAGGAAATGTACAACAGCTTAACAGTAAGACAGAGCACACACATTCATCACAGCAAAATGCATTACAAGGACTTTAAGATACATGCATAAAATTTCATTTCAATTCTATTTAAAATCATTCAGAGGCTAATTCAATATTTAGCTGAAATATACATTAGTACCAATAACATTTATTGCAACAACCTTTGATGTTCCAAGGCATCCTATGGGCCTGTCCGGTCTTCCAGATAATCCCAGTTTGTCATTCACTCCCAAATGGAAGTAAGCCTGTGAGAAAGAATCATGAAAACTGAGGGAAACCTAGACAGATGGCTTTGATATGCTCCTGCTGGTGCTTACGCAGAAACTGTGTGCATTCTTTCATTTAGAAAACAAGATTCATAACATGTGGTCATTACTTCTACTGGCATCATCTGTATAGAACAATAAATCAAGTGAAAGAGCACTAGATTTAGTAAATGCACAGTTCAAAGACCAAATTGAATTCTTCTGATAATAGGCAACTTTACAGCAAAGGGGAAACAATGAAGTAATTGAAGCAAGAAACACAAGATGCAAGTGCAAGCATCTTCTTCCCCTTCTTGCACAGCAGTTTGTAGGTGTAGTTTAACAGTCATTCTCCTTCCTTCCTTCCTTTTCTTTCTTCCTTCTTTCCTTCCTGCCTTTTCTTTCTTCCTTCTTTCCTTCCTGCCTTCCACCTTACTTGTGAAGTAAGAATACAGTTACTATGGGTTTACCTGAGAAGACAGGTGTTCAGTAAGGGTGAGCAGAAGTACTGCGTAGGGTCCTGATCCAGGATTAGGACACACGGGTGCAACTCTGGGCTTGGGCAAAGCCCAGAGTCCTGCCTATCTGCAGTTTCAAATGCAACTAAAACTTGTTGTTTCCTCCATTATGCCTTACCTTTACCTTCTTACTCCTATGAAGTTTTCTAGTTTTTATAATTAAAATATTTTAAAATCTTCAACTTGCTCACTGAAATATTTTTTTAAAGGATCATTTGCATTTATTGTCTGGCCAGTCTTGCCTCCTGTAATGCTTTTCCAAATGTGAATATAAAGGTAAAACAGCAATATAGAAACTCTTTAAAGACCCTTATTTAAATTTTAGTAAAGGCCTGCATATTAGTGCATCAACAACACAAGAGGGAAGTGTCTCATTCATTGCTGGATTATTATTTGAGTTAGATTATGTATGCCTAGTATTACTTCAACTGATATGATTTTATAAGACTTGTGTATTAAAGAGAGAATCTTCACTTATTACGATGCGTGAGAATAGAACCGTAAAAACACCAACTAAGCTGTAAGCAAGACAGTACAAACACTATCAGTGAAAGCAGACTGAAAGGTGCAATTTTTTTCCTTATTTGGGCTGGTTTAGGAATCTGCTCCAGGATTTTGCCAGGCACAGAGGTGAGACTAACTGGTCTGTAGTTCCTTGGGTCTTCCATTTTCTCCTTCTTGAAAATTGGGGGTATATTTCCCTTTTTCCAGTTGTCAGGAGCTTCACCTGACTGCCATGATTTTTCAAATATGATGGACAGTGGCTTAGCAACTTGATCTGCCAGCTCCTCAGGACCCGCAGATGGATTTCACCACGTCCCATGGACTTGTGCACATTCAGGTTCCTTGGAAGAGCTCGAACTTACTCCTCTCCTATGGTCTTAATTCTCCCAGTCCCTGCATTTGTCTTCCATGACTTGAGAAGCATGGCTAGAGCACTTGCTGATGAAGACTGAGGCAAAGAAGTCACTAAGAACCTCAGCCTTCTCCAAATCCAGAGTAGCCAGGTTTTCTGTTTCTCCTAATGTGGAGAGGATCCACATTATCCCTAGTCTTTCTTTTGTTGGCATATACCTATAGAAGCCCTTCCTGTTATCCTTGACATCCCTGGTCAGACTCAATTCTAACTGGGCCTTAGCTTTCCTGACCTGATCCCTAGCTTCCCAGACAATGTCCCTGTAATTCTTCCAAGGCCACCTGTCCTCACTTCCACCTTCTATAAGCTTCTTTCTGCCTTCTGAGTTTGCTCAGCAGCACCATGTGCATCCATAAAGACCTCCTGGTATTCTTGCCCCGTTTCATTGTTGGGATGCACTGCTCCTGAGCTTGGAGCAGATGATCCTTGAGTACCAGCCAGCATTCTCAGGACCCCTGCCTTCTAGGTCTTCATCTTCTCCTGCTGGCTTCACCCAGCCTTCACGGCCACCTGAGCAGATGCATCTAAGCCAGCATCACAAATGAAGCTCCGTACAGACAAGGCTAACAGGGCCAGCCTTTTAAGTGGAGTACGGCACTCTGGTAGGAGGCCACTTGCCTGTATGGAGAAAGAAAACCCACAGCCTTCACAGAGGACAAAGGGGATTCTGAAGACTTCCAGTAATTTTTGACCACAGTTCTTTAAATGTGCTGAGTTAAAGGAGTAAGTGAGAAAGGGTTTAAACACCAAGCCTATTGGATATAGTCAACTCAAGGGACTTCTAAAAACCAGTGTCCTGGGTTCGGCTACAGCAGTCATTTTTTCTCCTTCTTAGTAGCTGGTGCACTACTGTGTTTTTGACCTTCAGTCTGGGAATAACACCGATGTTTTTAGTTGTTGCTAAGTAATGTTTACTCTGACCAAAGACTTTCTCAGTCTCATGCTCTGCCAGGGAGGAGGGGAAGCTAGGAGGAAGCAGAGACAGGACACCTGACCCAAACTGGCCAAAGTATACATCATGCCCAGTATAGAAACTGGGGGGAGTTACCCAGAAGGCCCAGATCACTGCTCGAGTTGGGCTGGGTATTGGTTGGCGGGTGGTGAGCAATTGTATCCTCTCGCCTTGTTATTTCCGTTACTATTAGCAGTAGCAGTAGTGGTTTTGTATTATACCTTAGTTACTGGACTGCTGTTATCTCAGCCTGTGGGGGTTACATTCTCTTGATTCTCCTCCTCATCCCTCTGGGAGTGTGGGGCAGAAAGAAGGAGGAGGGTGTGAGCAACTGGCTGCGTGGTTCCAAGTTACCGGCTGGGCTTAAACCATGACAACCAGTTACAGAAGACTGTAAAATGCCTGTTACAGGAGTTACACTATGAAAGTATATAATGTTTTATGCCTACTGCCTTATTCCTTTAACTATTGCTCATTTACTTGTTTCTCCATCATGATTCACGTCGTCTACTGTGACATCATTAAAATGCTATTATTTATTCTCTATTTATTGAAAGCGGCTTAGGTCATAAGCCTATTCAGACAATACAGAAGATAATGGACATCCGTGATTCACTGAGGCTCTAAGGAGGCATGTATGACTGACCAGGGTCAGTGTCTTAAAAGTGAGTTAGAAGTAACACAAAATGGCAAGCAACATGCTTCAGGATATACAAGCTTAATAGCTTGATATGAATTCCTATTGTTACAAAAGAAATGTATAGATAGATAAATAATTGTAAATGCAGATTTCTTACTTTGACAAGTTCTTTTTGAGCCCATATCTGAATTGGTTCCACCTGCTGGGGAGTCTGAGTTTGGATTCCATATGTGTTCAGAAAAACCTGTAGGCTACAAATGAAATAACAGATTTAATGACAAATCACAGAAGAGGCACAGTTTTAACAATTACCTTGGCAGCAGATACACAAGTAGTAATACTGTATTGTACACTTCAGAATACCTTTAGCAAATTTAATATGTCTGTTGCTCAGAACTTCCCTAATACATACATTCGTAATAAAAGTAAATACATACCGCTGACTTTCTGCTATCAGGGCCACATGTACTACCAAATCGTTTTCTAAAGGACCCTAGAAAATAATGAAAAGTATTTATTAGCATTGCTAGCTAACTATTTCATTAGATATAGCATGAGTAAGGACGTCTATTTCAACAATTCACTAGTATGACAGACATCACTGTTTGCAGTGTTTTTTCTTACTATGTGAACAAATTGGAAGAGCAACATGGGAGTGAAATCTGTACATCCCAAAACTGTGAGAAACTAGTCCTGTCGATAATACCTTGCAAGATGCATTTTTGAGAATTAATAATAAATAGGTTCCTGGTAATCATTTGCACTGTTTGGCTTTCTTTAATTAAAAAACCCCACCCCAACATGTAGGAGAAATGCCTGATATGACAATGTTTTGATACACATTTTTGAAAGAGTGACATAACTCAGCTATCTGGGTAACCAATAATACCCACTTTAAAATAATGAACTGATTATTTCAACCCTTTATTCTGAAATATTTTGATCAGACAGCCTCTCTTTACAGTTATATGAGAGGCAAATTACATTTTACAGGAGATAACAGCATTTCCTTGCATTGTTTGTAATACACATACTTCATGTTTGAAATGAATACTAGTATTTTACATCAGGAAACCATGCTAATAGGAATGAATTCAGTATGTTGGGTGAAATAATTGACTTGACTCCCTGAGTCTGGAAATGGCTAGTCACCTTTCTTTTCACTGGCAGCATGCAAAACCAGCTAAAAAATTAGATGCCTGAGTTATTCCTTACTTATTTCTTCTCTGCCATCTCACAGATTTGCAGGAGAACTCTGTGATAACATTTTCTCAAAAGTCTATCAGCACTATATTTCCACTAAAAATTTTGGAGCTTTTACCACATGAAATAAATTTATGATGGAAGTACATGCACAAAGAGAACGAATTAAGAAGTCAGAAGTTCAAGTGACATTAAAAGATATTCCTCCTCAGAATTAGGGAATCACGCTACCAGCTGAATTCATACAAACTCAAACCAGTTCTCTACCATAATCAGAGCACTATGTTTATAAATCAGAAAGCAAAGAACCCCCCCAGAACCCGAGACTGCCCCCTCCAAGACTGGACTGATCAGCAGACATCCTGTAATCTAACTTGGGGAGCGGTCCTCAAGTTAATTGTCACTGGATTAATGACGAACTGAGTGGGACTGCGTAACCTCCGGGTGTAAACTGTACATAAATCTCTGTATTCTGCACCTCCACTGAGGCATGTCCTTCTCAGATACCAGCAGTAAGGCCTCTCACACCCAGACACAGCCAGTGACACAACTCGTTCATAGCAGCCAGTAAGTGGTGGTGCTAACAAGGGCTGTAACTAAGAAAATGCATCTGCAGCACAATGGGCACACCATTGTGCGAAAATAGATCTGTGTGAAAACCAGCTAAACTTGAAAGAGTATTTTGAAAGATATTAACTGTAATTTCTGGAAAACTACAGGACTGTAACATTACACAGAAAGTTACTTTCATTGTACATTTAACTTTATTAAATTACTTTTAACTTTATTAAGTTACTTTGATTTCATTTAACATGCCAAGGCCTGGAGGATCACAAGTGGTGGTTTAGAGAAAGACAGATCAAAATAACAGATACAATACTTGTGAAAACGTCATCCTTTTCAGTAATGATAGTGATACACAGCATTTGTTACATACTGAAAAAAAAACCCCAAACCCAACAATTCAGCAGAGAAGCATATTCTCCACTGGTGCTTCAAAACTACAAAACTAAGGTTGGAGTATTTAAAATACTTTCCATTGCTTGCTTAAATCTACACTGTTATGTGGGCATCAGACACATTTTGTAGTTGCATCAAAGCCACAAATAAACCAAATAAATCACATTTTTCAGTGTCAAGTGTTTACAGGGATTATAGCCAATGCAATCAAAAAATGAAAATATGCCCCTGTGGAAAATATATTTTTTCAAGAAATACTTCCTCAGCACAAAGCTTCAAATGAAAATATAAAAATATAAAAAGCCTTCTTTTTGGTACAACACTGTATCTCAACAAAATTTATATATGCAGGCATCTGAAATGCTTACATATTCTCCTTTATTCCTTACAGTAACGAAATTTACTAAAAGTGGAAATACTTTTCTGTTCAATTTATTTGACTAGTTCTTTAGTTATACGGAAAGGAGAAGACACCATTGAAGAGAAGAAACTACTTTTGATTTCTGAAGGCATAATTAAGATGTGGTTTCATTTCATATTTTATTATTATTAATTTTTCTAGCACTTTAAGGCAAATACTAAGTACTGATCCTGTATAAATTAGCTCAGTTAGATAAAATGGCATCACTGAACATTTGAACTGCTTCAGCAAATTTAAAATGTGGATTAAAATAAGGCAAGGTCAAGACTCTCAGCTGAAACTTGAATTTGATGACTTTAACTGCGAGACTTTTGCTGACAAAGCACAACTCCCTCACCTTGACACATCTATGCATCTGCCTTTCATTCTTTAATCTTCTCTTAACAATGACAAAACTGGAACAAACATCTGTATCAACAAGTATTTTGCCTTGATCCTAATGTGATAATAAAAGCACACAAGATAGACCAGCACCTGTTTCAGTAGCAACAATCCCAGTGAAATTCCACAACCACCTGGTTAGCAGGACACGGACACCAACCACACTTGTCACAAGTTCCACACTGCCGCTCAGAGGCTACAAGGATGAAGGACTGATGCCACAGTTAGCTGGAATTCCCACTGATTCCAAAATGCCTCTCTTTCTTCTCACCCACATTACAAAGCAGATGCAGTAGTATCTTGGACAGTTTTATCATTTACATGCCAGAGAAAACCATAGCCATCTATAGCAAAGAAGTACCATCACTGGGAATAACAGGTGTAAGAAGATCCAGGCAATTGCAGAGCTTCTCCATTTATTTACCTATAAGCTACTGAACAACAGACAATCCATCTCATCACCTCTTGCTTACAAAAGGACATGCACAACTACAGGAATTGCTGAACCTATTGTATTTCTATGAAGATTTTGGGGGGGGGGGGGGGGGGGGGGGGGGGGAAAGTAAACTGCTCCTTTCTTGATTTCTAGCTTTCAAATGTAACTTCAGTTTTGCTCATCAGAGTATGCTCAAGGATCACCCTGGGAAGGTCTTTCTCTGTCTCCTATCCTGACAACAACGAAAACATTACTGGTCCCACAGATGAAAATTTCTGCCAAAGTTTTAGCAAATTTCAGCAGCTAAGGCAGCCTTTAAAGGGAAAGATTAACAGCTATCAGCTCAGCCAAGTTGTCTGAGAAAAGTGCAATTGCTCTTAGAAATAATTCTAGACAACTGTTGAGTGCTTAAAAATGATGACTGTATAGCCACTTCAGAATGACAAAACATCTAGTCTGATCTCCCTTTTAACAGTGACAAAGCTTTTTTTTTTTATTTACATCATTTGCAGATGAAGCAAAACATCAAAACAAAGGTGCTTAAGTTATTTGTTATTTTTCAACACTGTTGAGTTTTAAAAGCCACTATTATATTGCTGAATTTTACCAGATAACTGGATTTTACTAAGTAAGTTCTTTATTGACCCACCAAGGAGTAAACTATGAAAAAATATATTATTATTGTATTACTTATCATCTCTTCCAGGAAACTCCCAGGGCAGAGGCTATTTCTCTCTGAAGATCTGGAAAGTCCCTATCATATAACGGGTACCCCCAAAAATAGTAAAAATGCTTTTCTACTGTAACAATTCCTGGTAAGTCATGAAGTGTCTTTAAACAAGCCATCATCATCTCCAAAGTGTTCATCTGTGGCGTATTAAGAGTTGCTGGTTTCAAGAATCAAAGAAGAAAAAAGAAAAAAGTTGGACATGCCGCATGCAGCTGTGACTGGCTACAGGCTTCTACTGGCACTCCTTAAAGGGCATGTGAATGCAGCAGCTCCCACATTCTGTAGCATTCATCATGCCATGATGTAAGAGCAAAGAAGGAAACTGGGAAGAAATTAAGTCACTGAGCTTTCATTATCTCGTAATAACATGGCAGAAGCAGTGCACTGTGAACAATGAAAGTCTCATTATGAATGAGACACCTTGGTGACAGGACATAGTGGGAAGCAGAGGTTTTAAGCAGCATTTGGATCAAACATGAAGAACATTGTTCATTCCTGATCTTGGAACAAATCTTAGGATAAACGGATGGAATAAATCTTAGGATAAGTATTTTATGCTTCAATAACATATTCACAATGCTGAACAATGAACTTACCAAATATATATTCCTTATACCAGGCAATAAAAAGACTGAAAAAATCTCTTAGCTACATGTTGCCATACATACAGTTCTTACCTCTTTAATAAAAGTTCCTACATATAGAACATGTTTCTGTCTTGTTACCCTATCTGCTGCAGACTTGAATTACATTGTTTCAAGCATTTCGCATCTTTGGGCACTCAGACTTGCTGCGCATTTAAGGCAAAATCAGAAGCATTTGTATACACCATGCACACAAAAAAAGAACCTCATCCTTGTACCTCTTAGGAGCTTTAAATGAAAAAAAAATTAATACATTCAAATGGTAATTGAAATTTGAAAGAATAAAAATGGTGGCTCATTCTTGTGTTCCTGATGTATCTTAACTCAAAGAAACACACCTATTAGCAGCTATTTGAACTTGCATTTTACGTATCATTTTGATTGCACCACTTAATAGGAAGGCAAAAACTGCAGTGTTATAATCTTCCTATTAAAAGCAATCAATTTTCCATCAAATACAATGGACATATATATAAAATTTTCCTAGCACTTTAATCGTAACATTAGAAGACCATGTACAAGACGTGGGTCACAATTTTTGAGTAAAAATATTTTAAGCTTATGCTTACCTGATTTGAAAATCTCATGCTAACATTCCGCTGATCTTGTGGAGCTACATAACGTCCAATAGGGTCAATATCTTTAGGACTTAGTAATTTGTCAGCTGAAAGGAAATTATAATAAAAATACAAAATGATGAGAGTACTTCCCTGCAGTTTTTGTGAAGGAGGCATACAAATGTATCTTACATAGTCAGTTCTGCTGCTATAATCTTTGTTTTAGATCAAAAGTTTATGTATCAAAAGAACATTGTGAAAAATTGTATTAATTTTAGGACTAATTACTTAAGCATCATTCTTATTACAGTTAACTATAATACTGTAGTAAATAAAAACAATATTTTTTCACACAGATGTGTTAAAAGAATATATGCAGACAACAGGCTCCACAACAAGCAAGTTGCATAAAAAGCCCCCAAATCCACAACCATGGAATTATTCTGGAGCTTTAACAAGAAACTCAACGGTTACCATCAAAAATTATTTAGCTTTGAAGAAAAGCAGACAGTCTTTTATCTCAAAGTAATCTCTCAACAATGCTGAACAAGACAAGGGATATCAAAGACGTCTCTCAATATGACATCTCAAGAAGAAATTGTAAAAAAACCCAGTTAAGTATGTAAGTATGTTTGAAATCTAGCAATTTCTACATGGAGTTTTTTACAAGGGAGAATAAACCCCCCCATAATCCTAACATTCCATTATTTTAACCTTCTCCAGGAAGGAGGGAAGAGAAGGGAAGGGAAGACTCCTGGGAAGACTCCAATAAAAGTAAGGAGGCTGAGCAAAACAAGGCAATAATTTCCCTTGAGGTACCAGCAATTTCTGAAATGGATGATTAAACGGGAAACCAGTGCTTCCCCAGAAATTGAAGTGTTTGGAGTCAGGCTTCCATTTAATTAGCAAGCACCAACAAGCAAAGTAACACACATGAAGTCCATCATTAAGGACAAGATTGACATTGAGGAAGGTTTTCACCCAGGTAAGTGCAAAGTTAAATGCACCCATTACAAATCAGTATGAATAAATTTTGCCAGTAATTGAAAATCTATTTGCATTACTGGCAGATAGATTTAGGTCTGTGATAAAGTTTCCAGCCCCTATTTGCAAAGAGAAAAGAAAAAAAAATATTTTGAAAAAATGGAAGTGAGGAATGAGAAGTAGTGAATAGTGAAGAGAAAGATTTAAACAGTAAAGGAAACAGTCAATAATGACAATAATTCAAAACCAGATTTAGTGCAACGATTAAAGAAATGTGCAACAATGTTCAGCAAACAAAAGAACTGAAACAAAACAGAAGAAAGTTATGTTACTCAAACAGCATTTAGCAAACAATAAATACTAGTTATTTAACCAGAATTCTGCAGGTACAGAACTACACAAATGTTAGTGTAAGATGAATACTAGGCAGAACTACTACAGTAATCCTGCACACACATTTGAGGATTACTTGTCTAATACTAAAAGGTTAAATTATTTTTTTTTTTCCATTAAAGGTGAGACTGCCTGCATTTGCTTTATATTTTTTTTACTTTACGTTTTTACATTCCTTTTACAAAAAAGGAATTATGCAAGGAACACAATGAAACCAAACAGGTGGAGCGCCAGACGGACCAGAGCTTCATACCTAAAGATACACCACTGTTCTTGTCAAGTCTTGCATTTTAAAGTCCCCTTCAGTGTTTCTCATTTCTACTACCAACAGCCTGTTTCCCTTCATAGTGTTCACAGAAAAAAATTTTAGAACTCAATCTACTGATTACCAGGTAAATGTTGACCATGCTAAAATAAAGGAATATATCTTTCTCCTAAAAGAAATACTTAGAAGAAAATCTTAACTGTGAAGACTTTCCAAGCTTAAAAACTGTTTTTGCATTAGCCTTCAAATCCTCTCAAGAGAGACCACAAGTTCATTTGTGTCTGAAATTCATTGTAACAATTTCCAATGGCCCAACTTTGAAATGCACTTTCACATGCTCATCTAGTTTCTTCCAAAGGGTAAAAATAACATAGACTGAAGAAAACATCCATTTTTCCTGAGACTGTAAAAAGGAAAAGTTATTCAAAGTTTAAACATGTCTTGCTTAAAACAGTAAATAATTTTAATTAAACACTATAGATAATTTACAAGCATCACTGTAGAGGGGCAGCTGACACCGTTAACCCAGTGTTAATATATTTTGCCATGAAACAGAGGAAATAAGAGTGAAAGCCAGGAAAAGAAACAGCAAAAAAGAAACACATCATGTTTAGAAGATTTTTAGTATTCTGAAATATTCCAGTAAGCTTCACAGTATGCTGCACGCAGGATAAAATTTTAACATAAAGAACAAAAAGCAGATTTTGCTTATGAGGTATGTACTAAACCACAGTCCAATCAAAACTCTAGCCAATGTATATTTTTTCAGATTCAAGAAAAACATTAACAAGATAAATACCCTTCCTTTGGTTAAGTTAAAACCTGAGAGAATTTCTTCAGCCTCTTACCCAGGAGTTTTGCAATGATGTAAACTGCCTGGCCCCACAAGAAAAATTTTCCATCACATCCACTGTTACTAGGAAACCGTTTCTGACTGCCAGGGTTCTTCTTCTCCAGCTCAACGAAACCAGCTGGCACATAGTAGTACTTGGGTACAACAGGACACCCTATGGAGTTTTAAAATAAGTAAAGTAAGCAATAAATTCCACTTCCCTTATTATTTGTTTGTAGTTCCCTAATAAAGCTAAAGTGGATTCAAAACCAGGAAAAACTATACCCTAGCAACAATTTGATTGAACAGAAAAGACTGCTGCCATTCATTGTTATCTTGCAAAACCTCAACCACCATGGGAAACCCAGGGCAATAATAAACTACTTTATTTTTCACCAAACATTTCCACGTAATTCCTTCCTAGAGCACATACACTATTTGTGTAGCACTTTACTGTGCAAGAAGAAAAACAATAAAGCAAACTGCAGTATAAGTAACAAACCATAACCCAAAGAAATGAAAACTGCATGAGGGTGAAACAGTTGGGGTGTTTTTCCCCACACTTAACACCAGCTCAGTATTAGGTAACTTTCTAAACCTAAAATCTTGGCCAAAAGTAGTCAAACATTTAATTAAATGAAAATTATATTTTTTTTGCATGTACACAAAGCCAAGTTATAATGAGCATTTTATTTTTCAAGCATCATGAAACAAAATGGTGTAACTTCTACATTGGAAGGCAGCATATCTTGCATCTAGAGTTAGCCACAGGCTTTACTGATTATTGTGGATCAACAATATCTGCTTTAACATTTTTAAGTGGACAAGAGTTAGCAATTTTGGAATATAATTACAAATGACTGACCTAATTATATGCAACACAAACCAAATTAATATGCTTTTTGCAAAATTTTGAATTTATTTGAATAAAGAACATGTGATGAACAGAATAAAGTTGCAGTGTCTATTTGCTTAGAAAAAAAAAAACCAAAAAACTACTGACAAGAAGCTGAGAAAACCTGAAAACTGAGAGGTCTTAGAGATGGAGTGAGTGACGTATCAAATGAGTGAGGTATCAAAACCCACCCAGAAATTTTAACATGAGACATTCATGATGACATTCAACAAAAGGAACCATAAGATTAATTTTGTGTCTGTGAAACTTCACAAGTTCATTAATAATTAGAAAAAAGTAATGATCAGCCATGTCAGAATATTTGCTATGGAATAAAAATTTGTTAACGAAATGCTTGTATTTCTTACAGACACTAGTTCACTTCAAGACATATTCTAAGTTTAAAGAACATGTCAGACTAAAATATTCTGCATCTACTTCTGTAACTGTAGCAAAGATGTCAAGAACAAGTGACTAAAGATGTTGAGATTTAAAATTGGATTGTCAGTATATTGAAGCTTATTCTGTTCTCAGGCCATTTTTTTCCCCTCTCACTCAAACTTATGGCCTTTTTCTTGTTTTTGTTCTTTTATTTTAACTGAATTCTGGATGGATGCGCCCGTAGACACACAATAGCCTTGTCTGCAGTTCCACCAAAATTCTGGAGTGCACAATCTAAGTAAGAGAACATTTGTATTAAAATTAATACGTTGCCACTTTCATTGCTCTAAGCCATAAAAAATTTCATATGCGTATACCAAATTATATGTAAGTCTTGTGAAGTTAAGTGACAATGAATGACACAAGTAATTCTCAGCTGTATCCAGGTGGAACATTGAAACAATCAGACTGTTGGTAGTTATTTTTTTCCTGCAAAGTCAGAGTGAACTTTGTCCATAATGAAGAATAGGCAAAAGAAGGGAGGAAAGACAGGATACAGTGTAAATCTTACATTTATATCAGAAGCACTTTCCCCAATAACATTACTTTTATTATCACACTTTATGATACAAGGTACCTACATGAAACAGATGATTTCACTGGTAGTATTGTATCATCAGGAAACACTGCGATATTATTACTTTTCGTTTGCTCTGACTACAGTACTCATTATTAGAAATGTCAGTATTTTAATAATTTCAGATCCATAAAAAGCTACAGTGTTTCAGAAGAATGATTATCAGATAATACCTTCAGATGTATGTTGAAGCAAAGGATCCAGAAGATCCTGGTACTCCTTTACTTGTGCAGGATTTCCTCTAAAAACTCCTAAAAATAACAAACAAAGGATTGATATAATGGAAGAAAGAACTTTTCCATGAGCTTAATGTTCATAAGAGGAGAAAAATCTCATGTTTATTTTTCAGTCAGGTAGTGCCTGCACACTAAATAATTCATGAAAAGTAAAAGACTAAACTGTAGATCCTCACTGCTATAGCTAAATCTCACAGGGATCATGAGCCAGCCACACTCTTTATCAGCTTAGACTGAAATTGATAGCAAGTTTCATGGGATAGTAAAGCTGTGAACTTACAGAGGCTCAGGAACTGGACATGGACAACCAGCCCAGCTAGCTGTAAATAACTTCCTTAATTATAGCAGAATGAAGAAGCAGAGCTTGTGTGCCAGTATGGAGACAAACAGGCTGGTCCTAAATCTTTAGGACAGAGTTGCAAACTGACCTAGAAGTGAGTTGCCGAGAAATCACCATAAATACAATAAGAAACTGAAGTAGGAAACATAACAATTTCCCTCCAAAGATTTTTTGATGGAGTGTTTACGCTGATAAGTTACACAGGTATTATATCTTCATATCACAGAGGTTCGAACTGCTGACATACGTTGATGTATCAAACAGAATAGACGGCTCTTTATGAAGAAGAAGCTGTTACATTTGTCAGTACCAGTACCTTAAATGTTTTTCTGCCAGAACTTAAGTGATCCCAAAATAAATCTGGTGAATATTATCATCAGTGTTCAGTTCACCAAAAGTTCTTCTATGAAAAAATGTATCAAAAATACCAAAAGCATTTCTGTTCATCAAGCAAAAACATGGATGAACTCGACAAGTCACACTGACGTTTTAAAGCAGAACATTTTCAACATTTAAAGGGGAACAAGTTAGATGAAACCTCTTCATTGTAATCCCAACCCATGTCATTCTGTGATTCTATCTTTCATTTTCTTCCAGTTTTCCTTTGCATTTACCGTATTCTTCCATATTATTAAAAAAAGCTGTAATGTTTCCCTCCTTACTTTATCCTAGAAAGCTTCCATAATCCTCTACATTCGACCACAAATTTCAAAAATGCTACTGAAATAAGTCTTATCAAAAAAATAGTCATATTGATTTAGTTCAATCCTTTCCCACAGCTATAGATGCAGAGCCACTACCCAGAGAATCTCAAACATTTCCTTTAGAGAGAAATCCCAACAAGGGGAGAAAAAAAAACCAAAAAAGCAGCCTTTTTGAATTCTTAAGGGTGAATTCTGAAATACAAAAATAAGACCAAAGAAAATAAAAAACTAATCCACTGAGAACAAATATACCAGACCACCCCTATTACAAAAAAAGTTCAGATATGTCTTTTTGTTAGATATGTTTAGGTGTATCTGATATATATTTATCTGTATATGTACAGATGCATTTATGTGTATGATGTTTAGATATGTTTGTTGTTGTTTTTTTAAGTTTAGAGATGTTTTTGTTAGTTTTTGTGATTTTTTAAAATGTATGTATATTATTACATAAAATTCACAAAAAATTATCTTGTTATTTCAAGAAAAGCCAAGAAATACTTTACTGAAAAGGCAGATTGCAGTAGAAAATTGGAATTTGACTACTGTATACAGATTTCTTTCCATAGCTCTTCAATGCTCTATTAAAAACCAAAGCTTCACAAGTTTTGTTCATGACATTTAAAAATATTCCCAAGTATATATATACAGGAAATGAAATCACTTCTTGCAAGAAACAAAAACAGTGAAAGTTTGCACACAGAAAAGCCTATGTTAAGTGATATGCTGAGCTACTTCAAAATACCTGAGCACAGTCACAACATGTGCTCAAGTGTTCTGACAAAATGATACTATGAATATCTGTAATTTAGTCTTATTGGCAGATGCTGTAAGGGATAATAAGATTTACTTACGTGATTTACCATCCTGATATCTGTTGGAGGGACAGAACAGCCCGGCACAAGCAATCCAGGAGGT